TGGAAATGTGAGCTGCCAGGATTTCCAGCTTCAGTGACTGGGACCTTGTTCATAAATACTGTGAGGAGCACAACCGTTCTGTTCGCTGGGCCTTGGCCAGATATCCCTGGTGTCTTTCCGTGGTGATGGCATCTGAGTGGCTGTTTGCCCTGGGCTGGGGTTGAGGCAGGAGCCTTCAGAGGAATGAGAGCTGATTTCTAGAGAGGTCCTCGTTTCCCTGGGCAGCGGCAGGTGCTGCGGAAAGGCTTTGACAGGACTCCAAGGAATGAAGACGAGAAAACAAATCAGCTTTGCTTTGTAGGTTGTAATGCTCGTACAGAACAGCAGCTGCGTGGAGATTCAGGAACTCTGGCCACAAGCTTTGAAATAATAAACGTGATTTACTTGTACCAAAGGGCCCTTAACAGTCACACTTCACTACTGAGCCCAGCGTGGTTTTCTTTTCTAAGTTGCGTTCAATCCGTCAGCCCGGGCTGACATCGAGCTGCACAGATTTTACAGGAGCGCGCTGAGAATTCTTTGGCTCGGGTTTGCCCCTCGTTACGTGCATGAAGGATGTCTCCGCGCCGACAATGCGGTGCGTCCATTGTCAGGAGCGGGACTCACGCGAGATTAAAGGAAGAGCCAAATCCTACAGGTCATGTGCAGGCAAGATGATTCTGTGATTCGAAGCTGTTTGGGGCGCTGGGGTTATCTCCATGTGGAGCTGCCCCTTGCCAGAGCCCTCTGTGCTTGGTCACAGCATCCCCCTCCGGCTGCAGGTCCCAGCTGAAGAACAGCTCTTTAGTTCTAATATCTCTCTGCCAGGGGCCTCGAGTTACTAACTTTGCAGATAAGGGGCTGGAGATGAGTAGCAGGGGCCTGGCAGCTGGGGTGGGAAGGGAGAGGCTGACACCTGCAGGGGTTCGTATCTCGTGTGCGTTAACGCCTTGACCTCGCGAGCATCGCCGCAATGGGGCCGTATGTGGAGCAGGCCAGAGCCCATCCTGGAGCTCGGAGAATCTGGACGCAAACACCCTGATAGTGGATGCAGCGCTTCAACAGAGAAGACATCCTCAGTTCCAGCTTCCTGGCGGAGCGAAGGCTGCCAGAACCCACGCTCGGTGTGTAAACAAGTGTGTTGCAGCCAGCCGAGTGAGTTAATGCTGCGCTACCCACGCCATGTAGCTAATACAGACAATTACGGTTAAGTTCAAGCTGCTTAAGCTTGGAAATGTAATTGGGAAGAACTTGTGTCAGGCAGGGTGGGTTAAGTCTTCCCCTGCTGGTACAGAGGAGACTGGACGCCCAGGGTGCTGGTCCTGCACCCAGGATGCCCCTTCCAGTGGTGGGAGCTTCTCAGTCAGCCATGCAGTGTCCTCTGTTCAGTTATTTAATACAGAAACAACCTTAAACTTGCTTCCACAAAAGAGCCGCTGGCTTTTGTGTTAACTTTTTAATCAGAGTGGGGGCAGAGTGAAGAATGCCCAGCGCTAATAGATACTGCTGTCTCATTATTCACCCCCCCTTTCTTTTTTTTAAACAGATATTTCATGGCTATTGTTAATCCACATTTTTCACAGAGTAATTTTCCAAGCCTTAGCCTGTAACACATCCCAGTGACAAATGCTCTTGATTTGGACTGTACCGTCAGCTGCAATGTCACATCAGACATTTTCTCAATGCCTGCTCCAGACAGGCCATCCAGTTTTATGATAGCTCTGTCTCAGTGATCACTATTGAACCTTCGGATTCTAGAGGCTTTTCAAGTTTAATTGAATAAAATTCTTTGCAATATAAATTCTTCATGAGTGCTATATAAATCAGCTCCGGGATGGATTTATAGTATTTTCTTTTTTTTTCCATCTGGGGGGAAGAAATCTCACTACTGTTTTGGGACCGAAGCTAGTATTGTTTTGACTGTGAGGAGAAATAAATTCACAGCTACTCCACTTTAACATGGGTGTTGAGATTAAATTTATTAGGGTGTGCTCAGCTTCTAGCTCCCCCCTTCTCCCTTCCTACCCCCAGATGGTTTCTGCGGGGCTGAAGCGGAGAGAAGCCAGGGTCCAGGCTGATCCTCTTGGCTCGGGGTTCGAGCAGAGGAGCGAGCATGGATCGGGCTGAGCTGCAGCCACGCTTGGCCCTTTGAGAGTTCACAGAGCTTGTCCTCTGCTTCGCCACCTCATTGTACAGAAGAGACCTTTCTGCCCCAAATGCTGTCCCCAGGATACACGATTTGCCGCCAGCCATCGCACTGCAGCAAGGCTTAGGTCCTTGGGTCCCCGTGCGCCCCTCGTGTTGGGCTGGAGGTGGAGGCTGGTGGCTAAGGGGACCTTGGGCACCGAGGTCAGAGATGTTCTAGCACAGCCAAGCTGGCATCTGCTGCTGGAGCAGCTTGTGGTGATGCATGAGAGCCTGGTGAGACGGCGGGCAGGAACGAAGCGTCGCTAAAATGAAGTACGGGCTCTAAAGCAACCAAAGCTCCGTTGCTCTGGGTTAGCGTTTGTCGTTCCACGTCCTTTGTCCCCACCCAGCCGTACAGCATAGGGATTCCGGTGCCTGCACCTCATTAATATAACAGGAGGAAGGCAGATGCTTTGTCCATACTGACCGTATGCGGAGCCCAGATACATTCCTGCCTAGCAGGGTTCCTTATTTATGATTATGCTGGAGCTGCCAGCACAGACATATGTTGCTAAGGGTCGTTTATTCTTGTTTGTAAAATGTATGGCTGCTCCTAGCTTACACACTGTCAAAACTAGAAGAACTGGCCCCAAAATCTCTTGCTGCATGATTGGATCAGGCGCCTGTACATCTGTTAACGCTGTAGGAGCTGTAAAATGAAATAAGTTTCACTATAACTCAAGCACCTCTATTACCGCCACAATGTGTAAGCAGCAGAGCCGGCTGCTGCTCTTGCAGGAATGACACAAACGTACGTTTTGCCAAGTCGTATGTAAATTTATACAAGGCAGCGTTTCCTCTGAAGGAAGGACGAGGACGTGTGTGCCCCCAACCTTGACAAGATGCGCTGGGTTCCTCCCTAAAGGCTCAGCGCTGCAGCTGAAGGGCAAGTTTTGGGGTGCACAGCCCCAGCAGTGGGGAGCCAAGAGCAGTCCTGCCCCTCCTCTCCTCGAGCTGGAGGACCAGAAGGGACCACATCTGCCATCAGGTCAAGTTCTCGGCAGACGCAGACCCCCAAAATACCCATTTTGCCTGGAAGAGGGCTAAGAAAAACCTTCCCCACCCCAACAGCACGTGCTCCAGCAAGGCAAGACGTGGCTAGAAAAGGGCAGGGGGGTAGTTATGGCTCCCCAGGGTGAGAGCCACTGTCCCTGCATCAGACGGAAGCAGATTCTGCCTGGCTGCAGTGAGGAGAGGGCTGTCCTGGTCCCTCAACTCTCCCTCTGCTGCAACCTGGCAGCAAGTGCCCACGTCTGTGCCCCATCCTCCCTACGGCTGCTTCGCAGGACACGCACGGATCGGCAGGGTGCCATAACTGGTGCTTCAGCCACCCCAGGGTGAAGCTGCAAAATCACAGAATGACTGAGGCTGGAAAAGCCCTCTGAGATCATCAAGTCTGGCCTATGACCCAACACCACCACATGGGCCAGACCACGGCACTAAGTGCCACATCCAGCCTTTCCTTAAACACCAGTATCGAAGAACTTGACCTTAAAAAAAGCGACAAAAGTGCGCTTCTCAACAACCAGGTAAGTACCACTCACCCAGGAGGTGGCGGTGCCAAGCCAGCGTCACGCAGGTCTGACCACTCCATCACCCAGCCCGGTCACTAACGAGCTGCAGCACGTCTCAGTAATTTGTGAGCAAACACAAAAGAGAAGCTGCAGGAATACCTTATCTCGTTCTGCTCAGGGATGTGGAAACCAGAGCTCGGCACAGCCTCCTCGCTCTCCATCCGAACCTGCAGCCAGCCCCAGGAGGGAGCGCGGGCCAAGAGGTTGGGCAAAGCAGTGGTGTCAAACAGAGGGACGGCAGCTCGTGGTGTCAGTCAGGGGCTTGGGACGAAAAAGAGGAGCAGTGAGAAGAGCTGTCAGCTCCCAGAACGCGCCTGTCCCTTTCCCAGCGTGCCCCCAGCAGCCCCCGTGGTTGGGACACGTTGGCAAGACGGCGCCGGCGAAGCAGGCATTCCGCGGGCCTGGCTGTTCGCTGCCAGCTTTCTGCCTTGGCAGCATCTGCTGTGGGGTTTCTTCTTTTTGCCGTTTCTGACGGCGCCATATGCCTCTGTGTCAAAACAATGGCGCTTGCACACTGACTGGGAGCCCTCTCCCTCGCTCCCACCCAGCTCCCTCTCCCTGGCGCAGCCTCGAGCGCAGAACGATCGGCACGGCGAGGGCAAGGTGGGGCAGGGAGAGCTGTGGAGCGGCTCCGGGGGAACCCCGAGCCCAACCTGCAGTCCGGGGAAGCCGAGGAAGCGGGCTCCCAGAGCCACACAAGGGGAGGAACACGCTGCCTGTATCACTATCAATGACAAACCCTGCGCTGGCTCCAGTGGCTGCTCCTTAGGGCAGCTAAAATACAAAGTGCAGCCTTTGCCCCACAAAGCTGCATCTCCCCACACCTCTCCTCCCTCCCCAAACCAAGAAGGGTTACGATTCCTTGGGGCAGAGAGCCTTGCCAGCTGTCCAAACCCCGTCCTAGTGCTCGCAGCAGAGCAAACAGCTTTGCTGCCCACCTCCAGCTTCGGCCCCCGCAAAGTTTGTGGGGCTGCCCCGCACCAGGCTCCAAGCCCTGCACCCACAGAGCACCTGCACCCTCGCGAAGCTACCAAGGACCAAAGTCACAGCAGGATCAAGTAGCATTTCTCCAAGCATCTTCCAAGACACAAGAAGAAACCCTGCTTCAAACGAGGCTTCCTTTGGGCTCAGAGGTGCTT